GTTTTATAGATGGCATATGACACCAGTTCGCTTAGCGAAAATGTTTAAAAATGTATCGAATACTTGTTGGAAATGTAAACAACAGCCAGGTACTTACTACCATGCCTGGTCAGTATGCCCTAATGCTAAGAAATATTGGTTTAAGATTCATAGATGGTTGGAAGAGATGATGAAAATACAGATAGAATTTAAACCGGAATTGTTTTTGCTAGGAATTTTAAGACTTAATTATGGTAAAGAGAATGACTATTTGATATTACATGTTTTAACAGCAGCAAGGATAGTATTTGCCCAATTTTGAAAAAATGAAAACCCACCATCTGACCAAGCTATAATTACTAACATTTTAGATTGTGCAGAAATGGATAGATTAACATTGGAGATGAAAGAGAAAGATGATTCAGTTTATTTTAAAACTTGGGAAATTTTTAACAATGGTTAGAGACACATTAAAATCTGAAAAGAATCTAATATTATAGAATAGATGATGGATTTTTAACTTAGTTCATAGGTTGATAACATCTTTATTTTCAATGATTCTTAACCGTTAAAGTTGACAATTATGATTAGTTGAGATTTTACTACTTACGTTTATTTACATAGATGAATTTTATCTGTTAATTAATTGCTAGTAATATGATTATAGTTAATCTTATTTTAAAATGGCTGAATATGATACAAATTATATTCATTCACTGTTATGATCTGGATGGTAGCTTGTTTGCTAAAGCACAAGATTATTGTACCTACCCTTATTCCAACCTAAATTTCCCATCCCCTTCCTTCCCCATACCCGTATTGTTCTTACTTTTTCCTTATTTATATAAACTTAATAAAATATTTTTTTAAAAAAAGAGTGACTTGTAATAGTTAAAATAGTAGTATATATTTTTTTTTTGAACCAAGAGGGGAGGGATGTTATGTCCTGGGCCTGTGATTGACAGAGCAGGTGCAGGAAGCTGGAGAGAGACCCGGGCAGACTGTGTGGTCTGCCCAGGCCAGACAGGCTGTTTCCAGCCTATAGCGCTTGCGCAGAGCGGGAAAATACATTGCATTTATTGGCTGACACATTCCCTGCAAAAGGGTATAAAAGGGATCAGTGCCATTTTGTGTTGTTCTGTTGGAGCTTTTAATAAAGAAGTAATCTGTTGTTACTACTGCGTTTCCATGCCTTACCAATGCACAGAACAGAACACTTACCTTTTAAAATTGTCATGCCTGTTCATTAATTTATTAATTAATCACATTTATATGGCTGCCCATAAAATATACTCCTTCTGCACTTGTCCTGACTTGCGGCTTAGCAATCATAATCAAATCCAGGTAACATCAGTCTTTTCCCTTGCTCCCTTTATTGATGGCCTATTGTTAAAAAAAGAAAGCCTGAATTCATAATTAGGTGTAGCAGTGTAGTATTTTTCCCCCTTTTAGCTGCTATCAAAACACACCTTGAAAGTTTATCAAACCTATAATGATTTGCTATACATTATCTCAGAGGAGAAGTTAACTGGCCATTTATGGCTGTTACTGAAGATGTATTTGGAGAGTATTAGAAGCTATAGGTGTGCTTCCTCTGAACCATCAACCATAGCTGGATGCTATGATCCTCACTGCAACCATTTTCTCCTTGCCTTTGCTCTCTCCATTAACACAGTTTCCTGAATCCCTTTCATGCCCATCATCTCTTTTACCTTTTGTTTATAGCAACAACAACTTTCCCAATTTCCAGCAAAGGAAACAATTGTCCATTATTTTATTTGGAAAAAAGGATGTTTTGTGTTATAAGAAAGGCTTGCAATATATCTTTAACTTTAGATGTTCCACAACTTTTCACCTTCTTAAGTAGGAGAGTGATTGAACTGATGCTCTTACTGTAAGTGTGAGGAAGATTGTGAAAAAGGCAGTGCTTCAGCAGTAACACTTAAGATTGGGGGGGGATGTGATTTAGAATGAATCAACATAAATCACTGGATTAGGAAAAGCTTGTTGGTCTAAGGCAATGTAATATTACAAAAAGGTATTATTTTAACTGAGAAAAATGATATAGTACAGCCACTTATTTTAACATATGTGGCATTGAATAAAGGTATTCTGGAAACAACATTCTATGTAAGACAATTCTCTATTGTGCAGAATCACCCTCATCAGATTCTTGGGAGTGGGAAACCAGATCTATCAGAGGCAAACACGCTAAAGGAAGAAAACATAGGTCAGGCAATATTTCAAAACTCTTCATCTTCACAAGCTCAATGAACATTGCACGGGGAGGGGTGATGCTTTTTCATCTTATAAGAAAAAGAGTAAGAAAGTAATGAAGGAGAATGTCTGGGAATCAGAAAGAGTACACAAATCAGAATTGGCCAAAAGACATGATCTCTCTCACCCCTGATGGATGATTTGACTGAATTACTGAAAGAATGGTTTGTGAAGCGTATCAGATTTTACATAACATGAGTGGTGTGAACTGTTATCAGCTTAAGGAGAAAATCTAATTTAACAGTGATACAGCTAAATATGATTTCAGCCTATCTTATCCATGAGTTATAATGTCATGGGAACATAGTAGAATACAGATGTTATTATGAGATATTTGTATAGTTAGATATAAGAGTTAAGATCTGATTAGATTCACCTTGAATATTGTATCGGGGCAGATCATGCCTCTTGGCAGCTAGTTGTTCATATGGCTTCATTTTTTTAGCCTGAAGATATGGGCAGGGTTTGTGGAGAGATGTGAGCCACCACTTGCTTTCTTTTGCTCCCCTGGCTGATTAAATCAGTCATGGCGGGACTGATTCCATATTTATAAATGATTCCTTGAGTATGTTATGTGACTCAATCTTGAGGAGAGAATTACAGGAATTTTATTTTTTAAAAAACATCCTTTGACTTGGAATAATTGTGACACTATACCCTCTTTCAAATATCCCATTCAAATATCCCAGGTAAGATGAAGGTGGTGATCTCATAGTTACAGATACACTATGACATTTGAAGCACCTGGATGAAACTGATATCTACATCCATTTGAATTAGGGGTTCATCCAGGTTCTAGTACTGAGACTGCTTTGGCTGCTAGATTCATAGAGTGTGTGCATCCTAATTCTCTTGGGCCTCTCAATGGCCTTCAGTGCTATCTACATGGTATCATTCTGAGTAGTAGAGTTGAACTGGAAGCACTCATGTCATTATTTCAATCCTTTATGTCCAAAATGACCAGAAGGTGGTGCTATGACACTGCAATTGTAACACATATATTGCAACAGTTAAACAAATATGAGATAGTAGATAAATAATTGAAACCTCTACCTACAGGTAGTACAGTATTATCTCAATTTCAGGCTCAAAATTTATAAACTTTAAGTATTAACTTTATTAATACCAAACTCATCCAAACTTTATCATTAACAGAATAACAGAACAGGTTGATCTCTTCTTTGAGACAGCCCTTTATATATTGGAATACTGCTACCATGTCACCCCCAGTCCTTTTTTTTTTCATTAGACCAATGGTTCTCAACCTGTGGGTCGGGACCCCATTTAGGGTCGAACGACCATTTCATGGGGGTCGCCAAACAATGCAGTCCGCCATTTTTTCCCCCTTTTCCTTAGCTGTGCTATTCCCTTTTATTCTATTGGCTTTTGAAAGCCAATAGAATAGACTCTCTTGAATAGAGTCTAATTCTATTGGCTTTCAAAAGCCAATAGGAATTGTCCAGGCTGTCTCTGCCCTGCTGAGCCTGCCAAAAGTCCCACTCTGCAAATGGTGCTGCACCAGTTGAGTAGTCCACGACTTACGACCGGTTGAGTAGTCCTTGACTTATGACCAGTTGGGGGTCACGGCATTAAAAAGGTTGAGAACCACTGCATTAGACTATACATTCCCAATTCCTACAACCAAATCATATATATATATTCAGTCCTTCATTTCCTGAAACAATGAAGGCTCAGAATAAGGGAATCAAAGCTTCCTCTAATTGCTAATACTGTTAAATAACACAGGGCTAGGGAGATTCTATGCAATACATTTATGCTTAGTTGATGAGCCTTCAAGCAAATGATGGGTTGTGCGTGGTTGCAGAGTTGTGTGTGTTGGCAAAGGGAATACTTGTGGATGATGTGGTTTCAGTAGCATGATTTGAAGTGGTGTCACCATGGGAGGGACGGTTCTGAATTAAATCTGAAAGAAAAGTTGTAAAAACTGAGAACTATAGTCCCCTGACTCACAGGCATGCTGAACATTGTTGTGAAGTTCTGTGTTGTCCTGGGTAGGGTACTTGGGGAAAGCATTTCTGCAATCACATTGCTGAGGTTGGTACTGATCTATGTTAAGCTGTGGCCTATGGATGTACAGGTTTGTCCTTCCCCTGAGAGGGAAGTCAATGCTGTCCAAGTGCTGATATCAATTAAAGTGCTGTTGGTTTCAGCTAAGGAATTTGGTGTTTCCTGGGAGAGTGTCCTTGTTGAAGCAGAAATTGTAATGACATGGGTTCCTATAATGCTGCCATTTCCTGTGGGACTACGAGTTTGATCTACAGGAGAATCTGTGTGTAAGGACCCACCTCACTTTACGTCTTAAGAAGACAGAACTCTTGGAATATCTCTTCTAACAGGCATCTTTTTAAAGAGAAGATGATTTCAGGCGTTCTAGACAGGATCTCTCCCATCCTTCAATGTTTTAAGTATTCCCAAGCAACCCCCCACCCCACAGTTCTTCTGGGTGACGATCCTCATCCTCTCTTTTTCCAGACCTCAAGCACTGCATTGTTCCCCCACTTTTCCCTTACTGCCGGCAAAAGGGAGACTTCAGAGAGTGAGTAGATGAAAGGCGATGGCCATATTGTTATGGTTAGTCCTCTTGGTGAGAATCAACATCCAGTCCTTTTGAAGTTTAATGAAGGAAGTGAGAGCCATAAAACCCCCCTGCTCATCCCCCTTCCCCTTCGTAGTATGACAAAATCCAGAGAGAGCAGAAATGGGTTTTTTCCCATAGTAGATAACTAGAAATGAAATATAATTGGATTCTGACATCCTGCCCCCTTAAAAATAAGAGAGATCCACCTGTAAAGAAAACAAAACAGGTATAAAAGTTAGTCTGGCTTGTTAGGATACTCTGTATGAAACTTCTTTAATAGCTTCGGGGCTCTGACATTTATGGACCCACTCATTTTGTGAGGCAGGGAGGTGTTTCCATGCTACTAGATATTGAGTTGCCCCATGATATCTCCTAGAATCTAAGATTTCCTTTATCTCGAAGTGTTTTTCGCCTTCCACCATGATTGGAGGTGGGGGGGGGAGATTTTTGGCCGTAAAGGTGACTGATGTTCTCTTTTCAGCAAACTGCAGTGAAAAATTGGGTGTATTTGCCCAAGATTTTTAGGTAATTCTAATTCTACTTTACTGGGTTTATGATTCTTTTAAATTGGAAGAATTATCCAGGACCAAAGACAAGATACAGAAGGATGAAAGAAACAGTGTAATCAACCAAATCAACTGTAACTATTGCAATCAATTCAACATCAATTAAAAACCAGGATCCATGAACACTGGCTGGCAGTCAAATGCCATGATCACAAATCCTTAATCTCTATCCACACTGATACCAAACAGCACCAGTTCAATTGGAGCAACACACCAGCAGTTTGACTGGAGCAACATAAAAATCATCAGCCATGCTAGCACCCACCATGCTGGTGAGTTTATCGAAGCCTGGCACTTCACAAACAATTCCATCAACAGATACATTGACCTAAACCAGCCTACAAACCCGTCAGAATCCAAATCAACTTCACAGCCAATCAGAGACAGCACCTTAACTAACCCACACAAGCTTCCCTCCCACCAGCAGTTCAATCACCCTAATCTGATGTAACCTCCCCATCACAAGACCCATCACAAGACTCACTGACTCACACCTGATCCATCACAAGACCCATCATAGTCCTCACTTGACAGTCCTCACCCTTATAAGCCCTTATAAACAGAAAAACACTGAAACTGACATCCCCTAAACTCTGCTGAAGATATTACGTACTTGGTAATGAAACATTCAGAAACCAACCCACAAGCTTGGAGAACGAAACTTCACCCTCATCCTACACCCAAACTATAGATATTTGCCACTATTGCAAATCTTCCTGATTTTCTTTAAAGTGCTCCCTCTGGAATGCAATGAAATCATTAAGTGATAAGTTTATTCCACTTCAATAGGGCTCATATGTAGTGCATCTGCGTAAACTCAGAATAAGATTCAGTTCACCCATTTCTCTACTAAAGAGATCAGGATGATTTTCCCAAGCTATGACTTGTTCCTTTGGAGGAAATAGTGCTTCTCCCATAATGGGCCATACTTGTAATCCTTGGGCTTTAATACTATCTAACTATAATACCTAACTCCCAGATTCAGCTTTATAGTACTTTGCTTGTCCTCATATACCCTATCACTGCCTCTACACAAAAGGCAAGCATTTGCTCAACCTCTCCTGATTCAAACAAAAACAAAAGAATTGAACTATAGGTAGTCCTCCCACTCTGACTGCCTTAGTTAGCAACTGTTCAGAATTATAACGGTGCTGTACATCACCATTACAGTCAGTACCTGTTATCCTGTGACTGATCTGTTCCTCCCCCCTTACACAACAAAGAGATTAGAAAAGAAGGGATTACAATAGCATAAGCAGGCACACAATGGGAAATACATACCAGTGTGCTCGTGCGGGCAGCCACAAGTATGCTTGGCAAATTTCAATTCTGTAATCTACGAGGGTGATGGACTTTAGCCAATAATTTAAAACAACTTTCAGAAATTAAATAAGGATTGAGATTCATAATTTTGATATCATGCAGACTGAATATTAAAAAAAGTTATATGATTTCGTAGAGAAAATATATTCTTAATTAGCTTATATGTGTGTTGCTGCTCTGAAGGTAAATTTGCATTATTATCTAATTATATGGAAATTAAAGATAGACAACTTCTTCACTTCCATTCATTATAGTATATTTTTCTGAAACAAAATCATGTACTATTATTTTGATTTCTTGTTCTTTATAAACTCTGTACCCATGTAAAGAAGTTTGAACTAGAATTCATTTTCTTCAAATGGACTATAGTAATTCATCTACATCTATTATTTCTTTCTTAAATATCATTTGATAGAGATTTCAAGTCTCTCTTTTTTCCAAATATATCCAGAGGCACATTCAGTAGAAACCTAACTATTATGTCTCCAGGTTTTAAAGGAGTAACACTCCTTTTTATTTTAATATTGCTTCCTTTATTCTGGAATACGTAAATTTAATGAATATGTCACAAATTTTTTTTTTCATGTTTCTATAAGTAAACTGCATTTCCAAAGCCATCTATATCCAAAGCAAGGTATGTTTTGAGCAAGTTTTCCATTTCACTTGAAGTCTCCTTCCTCAAAATCTTAAGGCCTTAACAGATCCACCTATGCTATTTATGCTTATGACAGCTAATTATTCCAGAGTTTTGATTAAGTTCCTTGTTAATTTTTTTATAGTCTCAGCATGTCAGATCACTTCATTTACAGGCTTATTTGCAAAATTCAACCCTGAGTGAACAATTTTTATTCTATACAGTCGGCATATTTCATAAGCCTATATGCTTTGATCCCTACTCCAGATTAGACCACATATACTATCTGCTTTCTATTGGAAAAATGCAATCAGATATACATACCTGTAGTGAAGTATCTACTGTACTGAGCTGAAAGATGGTTTGAAGGTTTTATTTTGTTTTTGATGTTCTAAAGAAAAATCAAAGCAATATAAAATGATCTACTGGTTATAAGCATGAACCCCCATCATCCCAATAATGGTCTTTCTAAATATATAAATAACAGTTCCTTGCATTTCATCAAAGCTTTGAATCTATGATCTGAAGAGCAAGTTGTGACTCTCAACAGGGTAAATTTCTGGGTTTGCCACTAACTCATCTTCTTTGTGACAGAATGAATAATTACCGTTCCAGGAGGAAATTGCTGGTTTATTCATGATGATCAGACCCGCAGATGGTATCCACTCTTCTTCTGTTTCCTGTTCATACCAGACTTCAGCATCATCAAACCATCTATAAGAAAAAACATACATCACTGGGGTAAACAAAAATAGAAATCAGAATTAGGAGAAAAGGTTAAATTTATGATTAATAAATTTACTTGGGTCTGGGGGGGAAAGAGTTAAGAGCCAAGTTTATATTGTTTAAAAGAAATATACATCTCGGGGTGGAGAAGGTGGATAAATTATATGAAGAATAAATATGGGATTTAATGGATAAATTATGATTAGAGTAGATATGATTAAAAGTATCGTTTTGATTATGAATAATTTTTGGTTTAAATTTGGAATTGTTTAATTTGCTTTGAATTTGATTTTTATAGTTGATTATGAATAATTTTTGGTTTAAATTTTTTAATTTGTTTGAATTTGTTGTTTAAATTTGTTCCGTATCTGAGTTAAAGTAAGTTATTGATTTTGTTATTTGTACAGTTGGATAAGTTTAGTTAGATTCAGTTTGTATTAGTTAAAGTTAAGTAGATTTTGTTTAATATGTTTGAAAACCCTGTGCCAAGCTCTGGGAAGTGGGGGGAGGGGGGGGTTGGGGGTGGGTGGGTGTTCTGGGGAGTGGGGGGGGGTTGGGGTGGGTGGGAAAGTAGGTTAGACAATAGGATTAAAGTAATATAATAGATGGGACAACTTATGAGAGAGATGTTGCTTGGGCATTTCCCCGGCACTGTATCCGAAGAGGGATGAGAGTGGAGGAGAAAGGTTAGGGAGGAAGTAGGACGGTGAGAGGAGAGGGGGAGGGGAGAGAGAGGTGAGGGGAGGTGAGAAAGAGGAGGGAAGTAAGGGAGAGTGTTAGAGAGGGCAGATGCAGTTTAGGGGGGTGGGCAAGCAACACCTAGGTGTATTTATTTTATTTTGTCAAATGTGAATTTTTTTCTTTTTTGTTTATGTAATTGATAAATGAAAAATAAAAACTTTAAAAAAAAAATAGAAATCAGAAGATTTTCTCCATCTTTGGCTGCCAGCTCTTTGGTTCATTAGTAGTGGTAACCTTTTCATCTCTTACATAACTCAAAATAATCATTACCTCCATATATTGCTCTGAAAACTTTCAGGTATTCTAAATTATTAAAGCATCCTCAGTCAGATGGACTTTGGTCCATTTTCAATCTTATTACTATACACCATAAGCTTCTTACCTGTTCTTAGCGTTCTTCTGCTTGACTCTGATGAGGAACACAGTCAGGATGATACTGACCACACAGAGCACAGCCAGGGCAAGACTAAGGCCCAGGGCAGTCTTTTGGACAGATAATTGGCAGTAACTATCCAGGTACCACAATATATCCAAATTATTGCAACTATGGGAAAGAGAGAAGAATTGATAAAGATGACCATCCACTTTATCAACAGCACTTTATTGAAAAATTATAAAATTAAAATAATTAAACATGAAAACATAAAAGCCAAATAAAATAATACCAGTAGGCACCAACCACATTTTTCAGGATCTGTGCTGATGTCAAGTTTCTGCAACCTATCTTCTGGCATCTATTGTAAGAGGATGGTCTTCACCTGGTTTTGGAACATTAGTAAGGAGGAAGCCATTCTAACTTCTCAGGATAGAAAAATAGAATTCCAGAGTTGGGATAGCTATGGAAAAAGCTTCCAGCTTTTCTGTGAGCACCCAGGCTATCTAGAGAGAGCAACTCACCAGCATACATTTCCAAATAGAATGCAGAGGTTGGGAAAAGTCTGCTTTGAGGAAAAAATCTTGCAGAAATTGAGGAACAAAATCATAAAGAGCTTTATAGGCAACAACAAAGTAACCAGAAATATACTGGGAATCAAAACAAGGTTTACAAGATGTGTAGGAGTCTACTAAGACAAATTGTACAAAGCAGAATACATTCCATTGCATTAACTAATGTCACTGAATGACAGTCTGCTGATACATGAAGATCAGAGAAGTAATAACACCATTTTTATTGCACAGTGGAAGCAGAACTTTGAGTTCATACCCAACTCTCTTTGCTGGTTTAACATTTAAAATTTTCTTCAGTTTGTCTCATTTTAAAATATAGAGAATTTCATGATTCTCCTCCATTCCTAAATATTGCAATCCCTCAAATCACTCAGGCCTTGTAGGCTATATGGTGGATTCAGTACTCCAAGAGAGCTCCTTTGGGCCCAACCAAACTATATCAAGATTCTCTTTCATTGTACATAGTTTGGCACTCCAAATAAGTCATTTTATCTGCTTTTCTCATTTCCTTCATTTTTCTAGTTCAATATATTTTGATAATTACATTGTAACAGTTTTGGTATGAAATTTAAGGCAAATGTGGGATTCTACAGGCAGAAAATTTTAGGAAGGTGGAAGAATACCCTATTAGAACTAGTAACTAATTCTCAAGATTTAAGTAGTTAGTGGGCTGATGAATCTAAGGAATCCTTCAATTCTCCTACTCCTTCTGTCTACTTACCTGCAATAGGGGCCTATTTCAGAGAGTCGGCAAACACCATTGTAGCAATTCATGGAATCTTGAGTGCCATTGAAACATCTCGAGATACAGCGCACAGTGCCTTCCATCATGTAGGGATAATAGTAGTCTGCATACTTTGGATCACTAATATTTTTACAGGTGTCTGGAAAAGAAAAAAAAGGTGCTAAATACTATAATGAAATATGGGCAATACATGTAGGTCAAATGAACAAACTGTACTGCAGCAAACTATGAGCTGGTGACTGAAATGCAGCAAATTTGCTCAGACATAGCAAGATCATCCTATTCCTGCACCAACTGCCTCATGTACAGTACAAAAGCAGTTTTGAAAAATATCCTTCCATGATAGAAAATAAAAGATAACAAGATGAGCAAGAATGAGTTGTCAATATGATGGGACTACAACTTCAGAGAGAGAGAGAGAGAGAGAGAGAGAGAGAGAGAGAGAGAGAGAGAGAGAGAGAGAGAGAGAGAGAGAGAGAGAGAGAGAGAGAGAGAGAGAGAGTGAGAGAGAGAGAGAGAGAGAGAGAGAGAGAGAGAGAGAGAGAATAAAAATGATTGTAAGAATTGAAAAAATTATAGTGACACAGAAAGGAAGCACTAAAATTCTATTACAAAACAGATATGGGGACTGAAAACTCATCTTTTCCCATCTTTCTTTGGGCTCTTCCTCATGTCCTTCTAACCACAATATAAATGTGTACTTACAGTATATTGTTAACTTTTTTCTTCGATCACTATACTTATAGTATACCAATATTTCCAAACTTATCTATAGCTCTCTTGGGAGAGATATTTTCTGCTGCACAGTAAGTCAATTTAAATTGGAAAAGATAACCAAATTGTATCTGCTTTGTATTGCTGCTGCTTTATCACTCTTGCATTCCCTAGGGGTGTCAAATTTGCAACATCATGTGACGTGTCGCAACGTATCATGACTTTTTTTTGCCATTGCCGGCATTGGCATGGGCGTGGTTTCGCTGTGATGCATCTGGCCCATGGGCTGGCAGTTTGACACCTTTGCCCTAGGAAGTTTTTTGCTATTTTTGGCATCAAATAGTTTCACATAGACATCCTTTTTATCTTTTTATTTCAGTGGAAGAACAAGAAGATACACAGGGAGAGCTGCACCCCATACCTCTACCGCAGACTTGAGAGCTTTCACAGGGTCACTAAACTCATGTTCAGAAGTACCTGTACCATGGTTGATAGGTTTCGGGCATAAATGAATTGCATACCTCTGATCTGTTAGGAAAATTCAATAAATCCTTAGCTTCCATCTCCAAGCACCTGCCTACATTCTACCAGCCCCAGCCGTACTGCTGTTTAGCAAGAATGATTGGGGGTTGTTTTCCTGTCTAAGGATAAACTTAATGTAAGGTGAAATGAAGCCAGGGAACCCATCAAACCCTTTCCTTAACTTGTCCTACATTTAACAAGAATGACTGCATCATAAGCAGGCCTTACTACTATCTGTCCATAAGTTTCTCTGCTGGCTCAAAGATTAGTACTTTAAATGCTAAGCTAGAGAAGAGCATAAATGAAAACACCTGTTAGGGTCATGCACAGCTTCTACATCTTCACCTCCTATCATTGCTTCACTGCTAATGCTACAAGTGGACATATAGGAGCTAGAGAAGACTTCATTGATTGATTCATTCATTGATCATCCATGGATTTGGTCTGGTGGGCCCTGTTGGCTTGCTACAGGTTCTCCATGATTGAGTTATGGGATTGACACTACAAGTTGACATAAAGTAATTAGATGAGATGGATTGACTGGATTGATTGATTGTATTTATATATCATCAAATATTCCAGGGACTTTCATTTATGTATGAAAAGTCAACTTCAGATATCCATGGTACTGTTAGCAACTGCACATTTAATATGAGTATTGAACACTAGTAATTTCAAAACATAAAGCATAATCCTGATAATCTTGACACAACTATCATTATCCACCCATCTGTTTACTGAAACTTACCTTTTAATGAAAAACTTGGAATAAGAGTTGCGTTAGGTAAAGGAACAAAGCAGAATTTTGGTCCTAAAAAATATATATATAATTGTATGAATTAGTTATCTGGGGTAGTTATACACCTGTGTTTATTTCCTTCAAGATTCTTCTGCATCAAAAACATTGTGATATTAAATAGGACCCCCAATACCAAAATAATCTGGGGAAGAATAAGTCATCAAATGGTATGTCAAATGTTCATTAGCGTTTAAGTTTAAGATTTTTAAACTTAATTCAACAAAACTGGAAAATATTAGTTTGTCTATATTTCTGGATCACACTGAAACTAAACATGCTGAATGTTATAAAAAAAGAGAAATATTTTGAATTTTGTAGAATTTCTTTAACACATTATTACCTTTGGTCCTTTTTTCATTCCACACCTCAGTTTTCATTTTTGATGAATCAAATCTCTTCCCTGCCCAGCAGCAGTGGATCTGACGCCCCCCCCCCCAAGATCTCCCCTCCTTTTCTCTGCCTCCTGTTCCTGGCAAAGCCTCCTGCACACGCTGCCCCCTCCCCTCAGGAGGAAAGGGAACCATAAGACCACAAACTTGCAGAACATGAATCAAAGCTGCATTTTGAGCCCTACATTCTCTGCCTTTTCCCCCAAGAAATATCGAGGAAAATAATCCCTTATTCCTGATAAGAACCAACCACCAGTTTTGGAAAAAAAAAATCCTCTTTATCAGGTACTTAGGAGCCAAGGATTTGGCAGCAGAAGGAAACAAACAGCCAATCTCATGCCATCAATACACCAATCAACCAACAGGAAGACACCACATAAGTATGACTCATAGAATAGCCCAAAGCACATATTCCAGTAAAGAGAAGATCTTTCAGGATGGGTTCCAGCATGAGTCCAAAAGCTTGGAAGAGTTAATCTCTGGTCCTGGTGACCGACCCAGATTGGATCTTGCAACATCATCCTGGACATCTATATTTGCCTTCATTCATGAAAAAGGGTGTATTTGCCTTCATCTAGTGGGAATTTTGAGATTTGCAGCCCAGATATGGTACCTTTATCTACCCTACGTAATCAAAGGGGGAAGCCATTTGAAAGGACGTTTGTTCCTGCAGAAAAAAAGTGGTTCATTCTAAAAACCCTCTTGTCTAAAAGAAGAAAGACCCAGGAATCTTATTTATTTCTCAGTCAGGAGAAACCATATCCAAGCAGAAGACTTTACCAAGCCAAGGCCATACCTGAATCCTTGACACATTCCCCATCGGTATGGATGCCTGCCAAGGAGTGATTCACTGCCCCTGTAACAGCCTCCAAATTCTGCTGGATCGTTTCCTCGTTGTTCTTCATTTCTATTTGGGAGATGACTTTATGTTCCACAATAATGCTGCCATTCCTAAGAGAACAATGAAGGAAGAACAACTCCTCAGGTGATGAACTACCCTTTATCCCTCAGTGAAGGTATGGTGAAGAGTGTAATAGGCCGACCCTTTTCCTCCATCAAACACAAAATGAACTATTATTTCTAGTCCTTTCCACTCCATTTAATCCACACAACTGTCTTAAGAAACAGCTTAGAATAAGAGTTTCAGATTGGCCCAAAGTTACCCTGGAAGCTTCATGACTGAGGGGATTTCAACCTGGACTTTAGTCCAAGTCTAACTGCTTTAACTCTCAAGGTCGTCATTGTTGGTGTTCCTCCTCGGAGGTTTCCTGGAACACATGGGGACTGAAAGTATATATCAGACATGCAAAATGCCCAGTCTTCAAATTCTCTAGCCACGCTTGCTTCCTCCCCTGCTCAGGCCCTCATCTATCCACATTGGGGAAAAAGAAATCGGAAGAGGAGATACTTAAACCAAAAAAGAGGGTCCACAATGAGAGAAAAGTTCTATTCATATTCAGACGAGGCTGACCTGAACGAATGAGAGAAATCCTCTTGATGGCTCATCATCCCAAAGCCTAAATTAGTCTCTTTTTAGACACCCACCTCATTTGCAAGATCTCCACACCACGGTATCCAGGGACAGCACCATAAATATCTTTCATCTATAATGTAGAAAAAGTAGAAAAAAAAGTCTTCATAAACAAAGAAACCTAGGCCAGGGAAGAGACTTTAATTAGAAGCAAACCACCTAAAGCATTGAATACACGGTCTATGCTATGCCTTCCCTAATTCTCCAGCTGCAGAAAGCTGAGAATCCAAGAAGAGAGTTTCTGGCTGGGAAGAAGACACAATGCTGGAATGAATTAGGATTGCTGGCCTTGGTTAAAGAAGAGTGTATGATAACATTACATTGAAATGATCTCTGAGTGACATTGATCAGATGTAGTCTGTTTCCTTGAGCCTGTACATCTTACCTGATTTTTAAACTGAGCCTGAATTTCCTGAGAATATTTAGAGTTTAAGTCTTCCAGAGATTTCTTGTACTCTCTGTTGGTAATCCTCACCTGAGCTTCTACTGTAATGGTCACAGATACTAAAAGAGAGGGAAAGAGATATTCATATGAACCTCAATAAGTTATTTCCCTGCAAAGGAATTCCGAAATGTGACAGGCAAGAGATTCCCATTCTCCAACATGGCTTGAAATGCCTAAATAGAGATCTCTATCAGGTTTGGAAGCTCATTTTTTTTATTTATGGATAATTTTTTAATTCAGATTAGTGCTGAAAGTGATCTTGGAAGTCTTCTAATTCAGGGCTTTTCAACCAGTGGTACGGGTACCATCTGTGGTACATTGGCACCTGGCAGGTAGTACGTGACCATCCTAGAAAAGTGGTAGTGGGGGAGGGGAATGAGCTGAACTGGTGGCAGCACCACACAAGCCTGAGTGAGAGATGGCTGGAGCTGCAGGGCTGTCAGGGCTCAGCAGAAGCACCAGGATCAGCGCCAGGCTCCAGCTGGAGTTCAGCGCTGATCCTGGCACTTCTGCTGAGCCCAGAAGAAGCACTGATCAGCTGGAATGTTGCAGCATCTCCAGGGTCTTGTGATTTACATTCAGATGCTTGGCAACTGATTCATATTTATGATGGTCATAGTGTCCCAGGGTCATGTGAAGTGACCAAAAACCTGCTGCAACCACTTAGCAGACGGGGGGGGGGGGAATAAAAAACAAACCTAAGTGTAAAACTTTGCTTTTTTCCACATTAAATTTCATGTTGTTGGATAGGGCCCATTGTACAAGTCTGACAAGATCCTTTTTGATCCTGAGCTTGTCTTCTGGGGTGTTGGCTATTCCTGCCAGTTTATTGTCATCTGCAAATTTGATGAGTTCCTCTTCTATTCCCTCATCTAAATCATTTAGGAAGATACTGAAGAATACTGGGCCTAAGACGAAACTTTTTTGTACCTCTCTGCTTCCTTCCTTCCATGTAAATATACTACCATTAAGGATTACTCATTGAGTACATTTGTCAGCCAGTTACAAATCCATCTGTTGGTGATGCTGTCTATCCCACATTTTTCTAGCTTACCAAGAAGTAGGTTGCAGTCTACTTTGTTGAATATCTTACTGAAATCTACATATACTATGTGGTAGTAGCAAATATCTGTAGCTCAGGTGTAGGCTGAGGGTAAAGGTTCATTCTCTGAATTTGTGTGTTGGTTTATGAATGTTTCATTACCAGGCTATGTAACATCTTCAGTGGAATTTGGGGATGTCAATGTTGGTGTGCTGCTTATAAAGGCTTCATGTTGTGAGTAGATTTTGTGATTGGGAGGTCACGTCAGGTGAGGATCACATCATATCAGGGTCTTGTTAAAGTGGTACCTGGAAAAATACTGATGGTCCGACAAAGAATATGGGTAAAAAGCAGATGGCCCACCAAAGAATGTGTATGAAAGGGAGGTTTGTTTTGCTTACAAGACAACTCTTAAATTTAGGATGGCCAGACATCCTGTTCCCAGCTCTGCACATGATATATTATTAACTGCTTGTCACATGGTGTATCTAAATTGCTTAACACTTGATATATTGCTGATTGCTAAAAACATTCCAATGTAAACGAGGAGCTATCGATTATAGATCTGTCTAGTAGTTTTTCTATGTTAGAATAAGGACCTATAGAATGTAATGTGACCTGAAAATAACCCCCGCCAGAAGGGTTATAAAAATGGTCATCAATGTACAATCTGGGTTCAGATTTCTTCAGCCAGGATGGCTCTCTGAACCTGCGCGCAATAAACTTCCCTTTCCTGAAAGAGCTGATTCAAGTTTTTCAATTCTACAACATTGTGATGGGTCAGGTGTGGGTTGTGTCAAGTGTAAGTCTTGTGATGAGTCTTGTGATGGGCCAGGTCTGAATCACATCAGGTGAGGATCTTGTATATTAAGTATACTATGAATATACTATAAGTATACTATGCCAACAGCATTTCATTGGTCTACTAATTTAGTCACTTTGTCAAAGAATGAAATAACATTGGTTTGGCATGATCTGTTTTAAACAAACCTGTGCTAGCTTCTAGTTATAATTTTATTTGTTTCTAGTTGTTTGCAGCTCTGTTATTTTATTATAATAGGAAATAGCATCCAAATCCCATCTCCATGAGTCTTCTTAGATGAAGAAACTTTATTCAGCACAAAATAGGCATATCTTCTCAGCTATTTATGAGGCTTCTGTACCCATATGGGGAAAAATATTATCCCCAAATTAATTGTTTTAGCTTGGAGCTGGCAAACCTACAGGCCTCTGTGAACCATCCTTCCCAGATAGGCAGAACTGGGAATAGAGAGCTATCTATTTTCCTACATGTTCCCGATTTACATGCATTATAAAGGAGTTTCTATTAAGCCATATTTTCCAAACCTGTTTTTTCCAAATGCAATATCTTTATTCTAGTAGGATAATCTAAAAAAACATGTGGAAGGCAAGCAATTTGAAAAAGCTGTCCTAGGCTGTCATCAGGGAAAAAGCAATCAAGTTCTCCCTGACTGTACTTACATTCATTGATTGGAATTTCATCCATGCGGAACTCACACTTGGGTCCATAGAATAAATCCTCATTACAGAGGCATTTGGTTCCATCATAGATTCCACCATTGTGGCATAGCTCTGGAACAATATAAAGAAGTAAAATTTTATCCCAGTGTGTGTATCTAGCAGATAAACGAGGGAGCAGCTTATATGCATTCATGTGACACCACATTGTTTCTAAACTCTTTCAGCCTCTAACTTGACATTAACTGACAGGAAGGATGTGGAGGCTGATCATTTTTTCAAGCAATGAAGTCAATGCAATTAAGAAGTTTTTTTTAAAAAAGTTCTTGCCTCTTTTTCATTAGAAAAACATTCTCTGTCTGTTGATACTCTGTCAGTACTGACATTGCAAAATTGAAGTTAGGTCAATCACCAGGATCAGAGATTTACTTTTCCGAGCTTTCAGACTCATGCTGGAGCCGATCTTCAGGGAATTTTTTTCTGCTGGAATATGTGCTTTGGGCTATTCTGTGAGTCGTGTTTATGTGGTGCCTTCCTATTGATTGATGTATTGATGGCTGGTGATTGGCTGTTGTTTCCTTGTGCTGCCAAGCCCTCGGCTCCTAAATATTTGATAGGCTGGTGGTAATTTAGCACTCCTGCTAACTGACAAGGGGCCCGTTTCCCAGGCTTCAATCATTTCCCTGGCTATCCTTCTACCTGCATGACCAATAATCTTAGTTGCTGTGAAATTAAACGTTCATTTCAATGTGAGGCTACCAATGAGTTTGGATCTCCTCATCTGACTGCTCGTTTGTGTTCTTGCAATCTGTTGGTTAGCTTCCTCCTTAATTGTCCTACATAATCATAGAGGCAATCCATGCAGGAGATCTGGTAGATTACATTGGGAGTATCTCCCACCTCCAAACAATCTTTACAGTGCATAATTTGTCCTCATATAGTAGCCTCTGGGCAGTATGCAACGCCCACTTGCAGATCTTGGCAGCTGCATTCTATTGCTTCTGAAATGTTTTTGATGTATGGCAGGGTGTGTCATACAGTTGATTTTTTTACCTTCTTTCTTTTCCCTCCTTTGCTTTTTGTGCAGGCATCTTGTAATAAATTTTTGTGGATACTCATTATGCTTGAATTGTTCATGTAGGTATTTTCTCTCCAGTTGTTTACCTTGCTGGGTACTACAGTGGGTTCTCATTCTGCCATATAGTGTTCTGACACAGCTCTTTCAGTGGATGATTACTATTGAAACTAAGAATACTTAGAGTGTTGGTGGCCTTATGATAAATTGTAGTTTCTAGGCTTCTATCTTCCTGCCTGTTGATGAGCACATCTAAAAATGGTAATTGTCTAGCCATTTCTTCCTCCATGGTGAATTGTATACCTGGAAAGATGGAGTTCAATAGCTTATGGAAATCTTTCAGTGCATTTCTTTGGATAATGACAAATGTGTTGCCCACCAAAATTTTGGTGTCTAGTTTTGAAATGCACAGTATTCTAGAAGTTCATGCAGGACAATTTCTGCAATGACTCCTAATACTGGGGATCCCATGGGTGTCCCTTGTATTTGCTCATACATTTCCCTTTTGAATGTGAAGAAGATATGTTTGGCTGTATCAAAGTAGCTTCATGATGTGTGTCCTGGTTAGGTTGTTTTGATCTGTGCTGTATTCTTTTTCTAGTATTTTATCAATTACTTCATATGCTAGTTTAGGAGGGAATAGATGTAAGTAGAGATATTATATCAAAGGAGACTATGATCTCATCAGGAGCCACATTTAAGACTTGCAATTTTGTCAAAAATTTTGTGGATGATGTGATTGTGCTGTTCAAGGGTGGGGTCGAGAAGCTTAAGCATTGTGCCAGCCATTTAGCCAGGTTATAAGTAGGGGTATCTCATAGCACTACAATTGGTCTGAAGGGGATTTCTATTTTGTATATCTTGGGGAGTCCATAAAATCTTACTGGGGTGGCATCTGTTGCTCTCATTTCACAACATTCTTTTTCCTGTTATATACTTGTTTTGTTTGAAATGGCTGAGAGAAGCATTTAATTGTATGATCAATGTTTTCACCTCTGATGTCTTTGCTGGTTTATATGCTGAGGAACCATTCAGCAGGGCAAATACCTTCATTTCATAAAGGCTAGGCCTTTATCTGCTGGTAAAATAATAATGTCTTGATCTTATTTCAGTTCTTTCAAGATGCGTTACTTCGTTGGGCTGTGTTGTTTGGTTTGTGCGAGACCAGCATTGCTGATCTTTTTTGTCTGGTGGCATGTTTTTCTCGCTATTCTACCACTATTTTGTTGATTATGGACTCTAATGCTGCTATAAATTCTCTGACATTTCTTCCTTAAGACACTAACACTTCAATGCAATCATTCAAATAAGCACAAAGATCTTAATCACTAATATTTGCCTCCTTCAAGCCAAAATTTGGCAAGACTAAATTACAAAAAATTGTTCTGTGAATATGAAATAATCTGCACAAACCCATTAATGATTGATGCGCTCTTACTCTAGAACTTGGACAAAGCACCATGTCCCAAAGGAGGTGTCCATCTTTCCAACCTCCCAGAATAGGGGGGAGCTTCCTGTGGTCTTTCAGCTACTGCTGAAATATCACTCTCAGCTACCCTAGCCAGGTTCACCAGTCAGTAAGAGGTGATAGAACAGTTACTATATAGGGAAAGCCACAAATACCATCCACACAATATGGAGGAAGAATTACCTCATATGATTAGGCTACAGTCACACACACACTTATAAGGGAGTATGTCAATGGTGTGGTTTGGATAAAAATGTGATGAATAGTGGCTAATCGCACTCATATTCAATCTGCCCTAAACTGTACCCATTTCTAAAAAAATTAGAAGATTCAAGCTATGCTTCAGACCAAAGGTCAGTATAGTTTGATCACAGGAATAAAAGAAAAAATTGTCATGAATTGGAAAAGTTTAAATAGGAATGACCAAACATATAGATCAAATGAAAACTGATACTCACCACTTGTGGTAGTTCTGATAGTATTCTTGGCAGTAGTAGTTTTGATAGTCGAAGGGCTGCTAGTACTCTTGGAAGTAATTGTTTTGGTAGTGGAAGGACTACTACTAGTAATCTTTGCAATAGCAGTTTTTGCAGTGAAAGAGCGCCTACTACTCATGGAAAGCGTAGTTTGGATAGTGGAAGAGCTACTAGTACTCCTGGTAGAAGCAGATTTGGGAGCGAAAGGGCTGCTAGTACTCTTGGCAGTAATAGTTTTTGTACTGGAACCACTGCTAGTACTCTTGGAAGTAGTAGTTCCGGTAGTGGAGGGGCTGCTAGTACTCTTAGTAATAGTAGTTTTGGTAGTACAAGTGCTGCTAGTACTCTTGGCAATAATTGTTTTTGTACTGGAACTGCTGCTAGTACTCTCAGCAATGGTAATTTTGCTAGTTGAAGGATTGCTGCTGCTCCTGGAAGCAGTGGTTTTCAAAGTTGAAGGGCTAACACTAGACAAGGGAATACGAGTTTTAGTATTTGAATCACTATTGGAACTCATGGACAAAGTTCTGTAACTGGCAGGATTGCTACTACTAAAAGTTCTATAGCTGCTAATTATAACAGATGGAGTACTTAATAGAGCACTGAAAGAAGCTGTGTGTCTATTGGCCAAGGGAGCACTTGAAGAAACAAGGCTTGCAGTGGCATCACGCGTGGTCAGGGAGTTGTGCGTTTCGCCCGAGGGAGAGTTTCCGGATGTAGTTCTGGTAGCCACATGAGCTGGCGTGGGACTCGTATGGGTTGAATGTCTATGCGCCGTTGCGGGGCTGTGTGTCTCAACTGAAGTAGGCAAGATGGTAGTCAGGGTGGTACCGACATCACTCCCTGTGGGATTCGTACTTGGTGGAGGGCTGTCTGTTCTTTCTGACGGAGCACTGGACGAAGCTGTGCGTCTACTGGCCTCCATCCCTGTGGTGCTGAGAGTTGTTGAGGGAGTGTGTGTTTCACCCAAGGGAGCACTTGTGGAAACAATGCTTGTAGTGGCATCACTCGTTGTTGTGCTGGGCTCAGCTGAGGGCCTGTGTGAGGAGGCAGAGGTATCAGTTGCAATAGAGCGAGAAGTGAAGAAAGATGCCTTTGTGGTGACATTGCTGAAGGCGCTGCTGGTATGGGATGAAGAAGTGTAAGATTCCCCAGAGATGGTGCCGGTCAAAGCTGTGCTTACACCGGCATCATTTCCTGTGGGGCTGGACATAGTTGGTGAGACCTGTGCTTCTGCTGAGGGAGTACTTGCAGATGTGGGTTTTGAAGTGACCTCAGTTCCTGTGCCAGTTTCAATTTCTGTTGTCACGGAACTGAGTGTCTCGGAGGAGAGAGTACTTGTGGATGGCGTGGTTTCAGGGGAATTATTCATGGTGGTATCGGCCAGGGAGGGAGGGCTCTGTGTTGATCCCGAAGGAGAAGTTGTAAAAGCTGAGGCTACAGTCCCATTGTTCCCCGGCATGCTGAACGTCGTGAAGCTCTGCGTTGTCCCAGATAGGGTACTTGGGGAAAGCAATTCTGCAGTCACATCGCTGAGGCTGATAGTGTTCTGCGTCGAGCTGCTGCCATTTGATGTACGGGTATACCTTTCCCCTGAAAGTGAGGTGGCTGCTGTTCGAGCGCTGAGATCGGTAAAGGTGCTACTGGCTCCCGCTGAGGGGCTTGTTGTTTCTTGGGAGGGTGTCCTTGTTGGAGCTGGAGTTGTAGTGACATGGGTTCCTTTGGTGCTGCCATTTTCCGTGGGACTTTGAGTTTGATCAACGGGAGAATCTGTGAGATCCATGACTGTACTTCCCTTGTTGTCGGTGGAGCCTGTATATGCGGTGCTCCTGGGTTTTTCACCTGGAGGAGAAGTCATGAAAACTGTGCTTCTATTGACATCGGTAACTGTGGGGCTACTATATGTTGGGAAGCCTGGGGTTTCTACTGTTAAAGGACTGGGGGAAGGTGTGCCAAGATTCACATCACTCGTGGTGGTGGAGGGGGCTTTTGCAGAAGTGCGTACTTCACCTGACACAGCACTCGTGGACGCTAGCCTCGTCACGTCGCTCGATGAAGCGCCTGCAGATGCCGAGAGGCTGAGCTCTATATCCGAACTGGATGTTTCTCGCCTGGCAGAAGTTGCACTAGTAATGCTGGTGCTGAAATCACTTAATATTCTAGTGGAATCTGATGAGGAGGTGTGCATTTCAGGTGAGAGGGAAGTAGTCAAAGCTATGTCGACGGTGAGATCTCTCCCGGTGCTGTCGAGCGTGGTCAGGGAGCTGTGCGTTTCCCCCGAGGGAGTGTTTCCGGATGTAGTTCTGGTAGCCACATGAGCTGGCGTGGGACTTGTATGGGTTGAATGTCTATGCGCCGTTGCGGGGCTGTGTGTCTCAACTGAAGTAGGCAAGATGGTAGTCAGGGTGGTACCAACATCACTCCCTGTGGGATTCGTACTTGGTGGAGGGCTGTCTGTTCTTTCTGACGGAACACTGGACGAAGCTGTGCGTCTACTGGCCTCCATCCCTGTGGTGCTGAGAGTTGTTGAGGGAGTGTGTGTTTCACCCAAGGGAGCACTTGTGGAAACAATGCTTGTAGTGGCATCATTCGTTGTTGTGCTGGGCTCAGCTGAGGGCCTGTGTGAGGAGGCAGAGGTATCAGTTGCAATAGAGCGAGAAGTGAAGAAAGATGCCTTTGTGGTGACATTGCTGAAGGCGCTGCTGGTATGGGATGAAGAAGTGTAAGATTCCCCAGAGATGGTGCCGGTCAAAGCTGTGCTTACACCGGCATCATTTCCTGTGGGGCTGGACATAGTTGGTGAGACCTGTGCTTCTGCTGAGGGAGTACTTGCAGATGTGGGTTTTGAAGTGACCTCAGTTCCTGTGCCAGTTTCAATTTCTGTTGTCACGGAACTGAGTGTCTCGGAGGAGAGAGTACTTGTGGATGGCGTGGTTTCAGGGGAATTATTCATGGTGGTATCGGCCAGGGAGGGAGGGCTCTGTGTTGATCCCGAAGGAGAAGTTGTAAAAGCTGAGGCTACAGTCCCATTGTTCCCCGGCATGCTGAACGTCGTGAAGCTCTGCGTTGTCCCAGATAGGGTACTTGGGGAAAGCAATTCTGCAGTCACATCGCTGAGGCTGATAGTGTTCTGCGTCGAGCTGCTGCCATTTGATGTACGGGTATACCTTTCCCCTGAAAGTGAGGTGGCTGCTGTTCGAGCGCTGAGATCGGTAAAGGTGCTACTGGCTCCCGCTGAGGGGCTTGTTGTTTCTTGGGAGGGTGTCCTTGTTGGAGCTGGAGTTGTAGTGACATGGGTTCCTTTGGTGCTGCCATTTTCCGTGGGACTTTGAGTTTGATCAACGGGAGAATCTGTGAGATCCATGACTGTACTTCCCTTGTTGTCGGTGGAGCCTGTATATGCGGTGCTCCTGGGTTTTTCACCTGGAGGAGAAGTCATGAAAACTGTGCTTCTATTGACATCGGTAACTGTGGGGCTACTATAGGTTGGGAAGCCTGGGGTTTCTACTGTTAAAGGACTGGGGGAAGGTGTGCCAAGATTCACATCACTCGTGGTGGTGGAGGGGGCTTTTGCAGAAGTGCGTACTTCACCTGACACAGCACTCGTGGACGCTAGCCTCGTCACGTCGCTCGATGAGGCACCTGCAGATGCCGAGGGGCTGAGTTCTTTATCCGAACTGGATGTTTCTCGCCTGGCAGAAGTTGCACTAGGAATGCTGGTGCTGAAATCACTTAATATTCTAGTGGAATCTGATGAGGAGGTGTGCATTTCAGGTGAGAGGGAAGTAGTCAAAGCTATGTCGACGGTGAGATCTCTCCCGGTGCTGTCGAGCGTGGTCAGGGAGCTGTGCGTTTCCCCCGAGGGAGTGTTTCCGGATGTAGTTCTGGTAGCCACATGAGCTGGCGTGGGACTTGTATGGGTTGAATGTCTATGCGCCGTTGCGGGGCTGTGTGTCTCAACTGAAGTAGGCAAGATGGTAGTCAGGGTGGTACCAACATCACTCCCTGTGGGATTCGTACTTGGTGGAGGGCTGTCTGTTCTTTCTGACGGAACACTGGACGAAGCTGTGCGTCTACTGGCCTCCATCCCTGTGGTGCTGAGAGTTGTTGAGGGAGTGTGTGTTTCACCCAAGGGAGCACTTGTGGAAACAATGCTTGTAGTGGCATCATTCGTTGTTGTGCTGGGCTCAGCTGAGGGCCTGTGTGAGGAGGCAGAGGTATCAGTTGCAATAGAGCGAGAAGTGAAGAAAGATGCCTTTGTGGTGACATTGCTGAAGGCGCTGCTGGTATGGGATGAAGAAGTGTAAGATTCCCCAGAGATGGTGCCGGTCAAAGCTGTGCTTACACCGGCATCATTTCCTGTGGGGCTGGACATAGTTGGTGAGACCTGTGCTTCTGCTGAGGGAGTACTTGCAGATGTGGGTTTTGAAGTGACCTCAGTTCCTGTGCCAGTTTCAATTTCTGTTGTCGCGGAACTGAGTGTCTCGGAGGAGAGAGTACTTGTGGATGGCGTGGTTTCAGGGGAATTATTCATGGTGGTATCGGCCAGGGAGGGAGGGCTCTGTGTTGATCCCGAAGGAGAAGTTGTAAAAGCTGAGGCTACAGTCCCATTGTTCCCCGGCATGCTGAACGTCGTGAAGCTCTGCGTTGTCCCAGATAGGGTACTTGGGGAAAGCAATTCTGCAGTCACATCGCTGAGGCTGATAGTGTTCTGCGTCGAGCTGCTGCCATTTGATGTACGGGTATACCTTTCCCCTGAAAGTGAGGTGGCTGCTGTTCGAGCGCTGAGATCGGTAAAGGTGCTACTGGCTCCCGCTGAGGGGCTTGTTGTTTCTTGGGAGGGTGTCCTTGTTGGAGCTGGAGTTGTAGTGACATGGGTTCCTTTGGTGCTGCCATTTTCCGTGGGACTTTGAGTTTGATCAACGGGAGAATCTGTGAGATCCATGACTGTACTTCCCTTGTTGTCGGTGGAGCCTGTATATGCGGTGCTCCTGGGTTTTTCACCTGGAGGAGAAGTCATGAAAACTGTGCTTCTATTGACATCGGTAACTGTGGGGCTACTATAGGTTGGGAAGCCTGGGGTTTCTACTGTTAAAGGACTGGGGGAAGGTGTGCCAAGATTCACATCACTCGTGGTGGTGGAGGGGGCTTTTGCAGAAGTGCGTACTTCACCTGACACAGCACTCGTGGACGCTAGCCTCGTCACGTCGCTCGATGAAGCGCCTGCAGATGCCGAGAGGCTGAGCTCTATATCCGAACTGGATGTTTCTCGCCTGGCAGAAGTTGCACTAGTAATGCTGGTGCTGAAATCACTTAATATTCTAGTGGAATCTGATGAGGAGGTGTGCATTTCAGGTGAGAGGGAAGTAGTCAAAGCTATGTCGACGGTGAGATCTCTCCCGGTGCTGTCGAGCGTGGTCAGGGAGCTGTGCGTTTCCCCCGAGGGAGTGTTTCCGGATGTAGTTCTGGTAGCCACATGAGCTGGCGTGGGACTTGTATGGGTTGAATGTCTATGCGCCGTTGCGGGGCTGTGTGTCTCAACTGAAGTAGGCAAGATGGTAGTCAGGGTGGTACCAACATCACTCCCTGTGGGATTCGTACTTGGTGGAGGGCTGTCTGTTCTTTCTGACGGAACACTGGACGAAGCTGTGCGTCTACTGGCCTCCATCCCTGTGGTGCTGAGAGTTGTTGAGGGAGTGTGTGTTTCACCCAAGGGAGCACTTGTGGAAACAATGCTTGTAGTGGCATCATTCGTTGTTGTGCTGGGCTCAGCTGAGGGCCTGTGTGAGGAGGCAGAGGTATCAGTTGCAATAGAGCGAGAAGTGAAGAAAGATGCCTTTGTGGTGACATTGCTGAAGGCGCTGCTGGTATGGGATGAAGAAGTGTAAGATTCCCCAGAGATGGTGCCGGTCAAAGCTGTGCTTACACCGGCATCATTTCCTGTGGGGCTGGACATAGTTGGTGAGACCTGTGCTTCTGCTGAGGGAGTACTTGCAGATGTGGGTTTTGAAGTGACCTCAGTTCCTGTGCCAGTTTCAATTTCTGTTGTCACGGAACTGAGTGTCTCAGAGGAGAGAGTACTTGTGGATGGCGTGGTTTCAGGGGAATTATTCATGGTGGTATCGGCCAGGGAGGGAGGGCTCTGTGTTGATCCCGAAGGAGAAGTTGTAAAAGCTGAGGCTACAGTCCCATTGTTCCCCGGCATGCTGAACGTCGTGAAGCTCTGCGTTGTCCCAGATAGGGTACTTGGGGAAAGCAATTCTGCAGTCACATCGCTGAGGCTGATAGTGTTCTGCGTCGAGCTGCTGCCATTTGATGTACGGGTATACCTTTCCCCTGAAAGTGAGGTGGCTGCTGTTCGAGCGCTGAGATCGGTAAAGGTGCTACTGGCTCCCGCTGAGGGGCTTGTTGTTTCTTGGGAGGGTGTCCTTGTTGGAGCTGGAGTTGTAGTGACATGGGTTCCTTTGGTGCTGCCATTTTCCGTGGGACTTTGAGTTTGATCAACGGGAGAATCTGTGAGATCCATGACTGTACTTCCCTTGTTGTCGGTGGAGCCTGTATATGCGGTGCTCCTGGGTTTTTCACCTGGAGGAGAAGTCATGAAAACTGTGCTTCTATTGACATCGGTAACTGTGGGGCTACTATAGGTTGGGAAGCCTGGGGTTTCTACTGTTAAAGGACTGGGGGAAGGTGTGCCAAGATTCACATCACTCGTGGTGGTGGAGGGGGCTTTTGCAGAAGTGCGTACTTCACCTGACACAGCACTCGTGGACGCTAGGCTCGTCACGTCGCTCGATGAAGCGCCTGCAGATGCCGAGGGGCTGAGCTCTATATCCGAACTGGATGTTTCTCGCCTGGCAGAAGTTGCACTAGTAATGCTGGTGCTGAAATCACTTAATATTCTAGTGGAATCTGATGAGGAGGTGTGCATTTCAGGTGAGAGGGAAGTAGTCAAAGCTATGTCGACGGTGAGATCTCTCCCGGTGCTGTCGAGCGTGGTCAGGGAGCTGTGCGTTTCCCCCGAGGGAGTGTTTCCGGATGTAGTTCTGGTAGCCACATGAGCTGGTGTGGGACTCGTATGGGTTGAATGTCTATGCACCGTTGCGGGGCTGTGCGTCTCAACTGAAGTAGGGAAGATGGTAGTCAGGGTGGTACCAACATCACTCCCTGTGGGATTCGTACTTGGTGGAGGGCTGTGTGTTCTTTCTGATGGAACACTGGACGAAGCTGTGCGTCTACTGGCCTCCATCCCTGTGGTGCTGAGAGTTGTTGAGGGAGTGTGTGTTTCACCCAAGGGAGCACTTGTGGAAACAATGCTTGTAGTGGCATCATTCGTTGTTGTGCTGGGCTCAGCTGAGGGCCTGTGTGAGGAGGCAGAGGTATCAGTTGCAATAGAGCGAGAAGTGAAGAAAGATGCCTTTGTGGTGACATTGCTGAAGGCGCTGCTGGTATGGGATGAAGAAGTGTAAGATTCCCCAGAGATGGTGCCGGTCAAAGCTGTGCTTACACCGGCATCATTTCCTGTGGGGCTGGACATAGTTGGTGAGACCTGTGCTTCTGCTGAGGGAGTACTTGCAGATGTGGGTTTTGAAGTGACCTCAGTTCCTGTGCCAGTTTCAATTTCTGTTGTCGCGGAACTGAGTGTCTCGGAGGAGAGAGTACTTGTGGATGGCGTGGTTTCAGGGGAATTATTCATGGTGGTATCGGCCAGGGAGGGAGGGCTCTGTGTTGATCCCGAAGGAGAAGTTGTAAAAGCTGAGGCTACAGTCCCATTGTTCCCCGGCATGCTGAACGTCGTGAAGCTCTGCGTTGTCCAGATAGGGTACTTGGGGAAAGCAATTCTGCAGTCACATCGCTGAGGCTGATAGTGTTCTGCGTCGAGCTGCTGCCATTTGATGTACGGGTATACCTTTCCCCTGAAAGTGAGGTGGCTGCTGTTCGAGCGCTGAGATCGGTAAAGGTGCTACTGGCTCCCGCTGAGGGGCTTGTTGTTTCTTGGGAGGGTGTCCTTGTTGGAGCTGGAGTTGTAGTGACATGGGTTCCTTTGGTGCTGCCATTTTCCGTGGGACTTTGAGTTTGATCAACGGGAGAATCTGTGAGATCCATGACTGTACTTCCCTTGTTGTCGGTGGAGCCTGTATATGCGGTGCTCCTGGGTTTTTCACCTGGAGGAGAAGTCATGAAAACTGTGCTTCTATTGACATCGGTAACTGTGGGGCTACTATAGGTTGGGAAGCCTGGGGTTTCTACTGTTAAAGGACTGGGGGAAGGTGTGCCAAGATTCACATCACTCGTGGTGGTGGAGGGGGCTTTTGCAGAAGTGCGTACTTCACCTGACACAGCACTCGTGGACGCTAGCCTCGTCACGTCGCTCGATGAAGCGCCTGCAGATGCCGAGAGGCTGAGCTCTATATCCGAACTGGATGTTTCTCGCCTGGCAGAAGTTGCACTAGTAATGCTGGTGCTGAAATCACTTAATATTCTAGTGGAATCTGATGAGGAGGTGTGCATTTCAGGTGAGAGGGAAGTAGTCAAAGCTATGTCGACGGTGAGATCTCTCCCGGTGCTGTCGAGCGTGGTCAGGGAGCTGTGCGTTTCCCCCGAGGGAGTGTTTCCGGATGTAGTTCTGGTAGCCACATGAGCTGGTGTGGGACTCGTATGGGTTGAATGTCTATGCACCGTTGCGGGGCTGTGCGTCTCAACTGAAGTAGGGAAGATGGTAGTCAGGGTGGTACCAACATCACTCCCTGTGGGATTCGTACTTGGTGGAGGGCTGTCTGTTCTTTCTGACGGAACACTGGACGAAGCTGTGCGTCTACTGGCCTCCATCCCTGTGGTGCTGAGAGTTGTTGAGGGAGTGTGTGTTTCACCCAAGGGAGCACTTGTGGAAACAATGCTTGTAGTGGCATCACTCGTTGTTGTGCTGGGCTCAGCTGAGGGCCTGTGTGAGGAAGCAGAGGTATCAGTTGCAATAGAGCGAGAAGTGAAGAAAGATGCCTTTGTGGTGACATTGCTGAAGGCGCTGCTGGTATGGGATGAAGAAGTGTAAGATTCCCCAGAGACGGTGCCGGTCAAAGCTGTGCTTACACCGGCATCATTTCCTGTGGGGCTGGACATAGTTGGTGAGACCTGTGCTTCTGCTGAGGGAGTACTTGCAGATATGGGTTTTGAAGTGACCTCAGTTCCTGTGCCAGTTTCAATTTCTGTTGTCGCAGAACTGAGTGTCTCGGAGGAGAGAGTACTTGTGGATGGCGTGGTTTCAGGGGAATTATTCATGGTGGTATCGGCCAGGGAGGGAGGGCTCTGTGTTGATCCCGAAGGAGAAGTTGTAAAAGCTGAGGCTACAGTCCCATTGTTCCCCGGCATGCTGAACGTCGTGAAGCTCTGCGTTGTCCCAGATAGGGTACTTGGGGAAAGCAATTCTGCAGTCACATCGCTGAGGCTGATAGTGTTCTGCGTCGAGCTGCTGCCATTTGATGTACGGGTATACCTTTCCCCTGAAAGTGAGGTGGCTGCTGTTCGAGCGCTGAGATCGGTAAAGGTGCTACTGGCTCCCGCTGAGGGGCTTGTTGTTTCTTGGGAGGGTGTCCTTGTTGGAGCTGGAGTTGTAGTGACATGGGTTCCTTTGGTGCTGCCATTTTCCGTGGGACTTTGAGTTTGATCAACGGGAGAATCTGTGAGATCCATGACTGTACTTCCCTCGTTGTCGGTGGAGCCTGTATATGCGGTGCTCCTGGGTTTTTCACCTGGAGGAGAAGTCATGAAAACTGTGCTTCTATTGACATCGGTAAATGTGGGGCTACTATAGGTTGGGAAGCCTGGGGTTTCTACTGTTAAAGGACTGGGGGAAGGTGTGCCAAGATTCACATCACTCGTGGTGGTGGAGGGGGCTTTTGCAGAAGTGCGTAGTTCACCTGACACAGCACTCGTGGACGCTAGGCTCGTCACGTCGCTCGATGAAGCGCCTGCAGATGCCGAGGGGCTGAGCTCTATATCCAAACTGGATGTTTCTCGCCTGGCAGAAGTTTCACTAGTAATGCTGGTGCTGAAATCACTTAATATTCTAGTGGAATCTGATGAGGAGGTGTGCATTTCAGGTGAAAGGGAAGTAGTCAAAGCTATGTCGACGGTGAGATCTCTCCCGGTGCTGTCGAGCGTGGTCAGGGAGCTGTGCATTTCCCCCGAGGGATTGTTTCCGGATGTAGTTCTGGTAGCCACATGAGCTGGCGTGGGACTTGTATGGGTTGAATGTCTATGCGCCGTTGCGGGGCTGTGTGTCTCAACTGAAGTAGGCAAGATGGTAGTCAGGGTGGTACCGACATCACTCCCTGTGGGATTCGTACCTGGTGGAGGACTGTCTGTTCTTTCTGACGGAACACTGGACGAAGCTGTGCGTCTACTGGCCTCCATCCCTGTGGTGCTGAGAGTTGTTGAGGGAGTGTGTGTTTCACCCAAGGGAGCACTTGTGGAAACAATGCTTGTAGTGGCATCATTCGTTGTTGTGCTGGGCTCAGCTGAGGGCCTGTGTGAGGAGGCAGAGGTATCAGTTGCAATAGAGCGAGAAGTGAAGAAAGATGCCTTTGTGGTGACATTGCTGAAGGCGCTGCTGGTATGGGATGAAGAAGTGTAAGATTCCCCAGAGATGGTGCCGGTCAAAGCTGTGCTTACACCGGCATCATTTCCTGTGGGGCTGGACATAGTTGGTGAGACCTGTGCTTCTGCTGAGGGAGTACTTGCAGATGTGGGTTTTGAAGTGACCTCAGTTCCTGTGCCAGTTTCAATTTCTGTTGTCACGGAACTGAGTGTCTCAGAGGAGAGAGTACTTGTGGATGGCGTGGTTTCAGGGGAATTATTCATGGTGGTATCGGCCAGGGAGGGAGGGCTCTGTGTTGATCCCGAAGGAGAAGTTGTAAAAGCTGAGGCTACAGTCCCATTGTTCCCCGGCATGCTGAACGTCGTGAAGCTCTGCGTTGTCCCAGATAGGGTACTTGGGGAAAGCAATTCTGCAGTCACATCGCTGAGGCTGATAGTGTTCTGCGTCGAGCTGCTGCCATTTGATGTACGGGTATACCTTTCCCCTGAAAGTGAGGTGGCTGCTGTTCGAGCGCTGAGATCGGTAAAGGTGCTACTGGCTCCCGCTGAGGGGCTTGTTGTTTCTTGGGAGGGTGTCCTTGTTGGAGCTGGAGTTGTAGTGACATGGGTTCCTTTGGTGCTGCCATTTTCCGTGGGACTTTGAGTTTGATCAACGGGAGAATCTGTGAGATCCATGACTGTACTTCCCTTGTTGTCGGTGGAGCCTGTATATGCGGTGCTCCTGGGTTTTTCACCTGGAGGAGAAGTCATGAAAACTGTGCTTCTATTGACATCGGTAACTGTGGGGCTACTATAGGTTGGGAAGCCTGGGGTTTCTACTGTTAAAGGACTGGGGGAAGGTGTGCCAAGATTCACATCACTCGTGGTGGTGGAGGGGGCTTTTGCAGAAGTGCGTACTTCACCTGACACAGCACTCGTGGACGCTAGGCTCGTCACGTCGCTCGATGAAGCGCCTGCAGATGCCGAGGGGCTGAGCTCTATATCCAAACTGGATGTTTCTCGCCTGGCAGAAGTTTCACTAGTAATGCTGGTGCTGAAATCACTTAATATTCTAGTGGAATCTGATGAGGAGGTGTGCATTTCAGGTGAAAGGGAAGTAGTCAAAGCTATGTCGACGGTGAGATCTCTCCCGGTGCTGTCGAGCGTGGTCAGGGAGCTGTGCATTTCCCCCGAGGGATTGTTTCCGGATGTAGTTCTGGTAGCCACATGAGCTGGCGTGGGACTTGTATGGGTTGAATGTCTATGCGCCGTTGCGGGGCTGTGTGTCTCAACTGAAGTAGGCAAGATGGTAGTCAGGGTGGTACCGACATCACTCCCTGTGGGATTCGTACCTGGTGGAGGACTGTCTGTTCTTTCTGATGGAACACTGGACGAAGCTGTGCGTCTACTGGCCTCCATCCCTGTGGTGCTGAGAGTTGTTGAGGGAGTGTGTGTTTCACCCAAGGGAGCACTTGTGGAAACAATGCTTGTAGTGGCATCATTCGTTGTTGTGCTGGGCTCAGCTGAGGGCCTGTGTGAGGAGGCAGAGGTATCAGTTGCAATAGAGCGAGAAGTGAAGAAAGATGCCTTTGTGGTGACATTGCTGAAGGCGCTGCTGGTATGGGATGAAGAAGTGTAAGATTCCCCAGAGACGGTGCCGGTCAAAGCTGTGCTTACACCGGCATCATTTCCTGTGGGGCTGGACATAGTTGGTGAGACCTGTGCTTCTGCTGAGGGAGTACTTGCAGATGTGGGTTTTGAAGTGACCTCAGTTCCTGTGCCAGTTTCAATTTCTGTTGTCGCGGAACTGAGTGTCTCGGAGGAGAGAGTACTTGTGGATGGCGTGGTTTCAGGGGAATTATTCATGGTGGTATCGGCCAGGGAGGGAGGGCTCTGTGTTGATCCCGAAGGAGAAGTTGTAAAAGCTGAGGCTACAGTCCCATTGTTCCCCGGCATGCTGAACGTCGTGAAGCTCTGCGTTGTCCCAGATAGGGTACTTGGGGAAAGCAATTCTGCAGTCACATCGCTGAGGCTGATAGTGTTCTGCGTCGAGCTGCTGCCATTTGATGTACGGGTATACCTTTCCCCTGAAAGTGAGGTGGCTGCTGTTCGAGCGCTGAGATCGGTAAAGGTGCTACTGGCTCCCGCTGAGGGGCTTGTTGTTTCTTGGGAGGGTGTCCTTGTTGGAGCTGGAGTTGTAGTGACATGGGTTCCTTTGGTGCTGCCATTTTCCGTGGGACTTTGAGTTTGATCAACGGGAGAATCTGTGAGATCCATGACTGTACTTCCCTTGTTGTCGGTGGAGCCTGTATATGCGGTGCTCCTGGGTTTTTCACCTGGAGGAGAAGTCATGAAAACCGTGCTTCTATTGACATCGGTAACTGTGGGGCTACTATAGGTTGGGAAGCCTGGGGTTTCTACTGTTAAAGGACTGGGGGAAGGTGTGCCAAAATTCACATCACTCGTGGTGGTGGAGGGGGCTTTTGCAGAAGTGCGTACTTCACCTGACACAGCACTCGTGGACGTTAGGCTCATCACGTCGCTCGATGAAGCGCCTGCAGATGCCGAGGGGCTGAGCTCTATATCCGAACTGGATGTTTCTCGCCTGGCAGAAGTTGCACTAGCAATGCTGCTGCTGAAATCACTTAATATTCTAGTGGAATCTGATGAGCAGGTGTGCATTTCAGGTGAGAGGGAAGTAGTCAAAGCTATGTCGACGGTGAGATCTCTCCCGGTGCTGTCGAGCGTGGTCAGGGAGCTGTGCGTTTCCCCCGAGGGAGTGTTTCCGGATGTAGTTCTGGTAGCCACATGAGCTGGCGTGGGACTCGTATGGGTTGAATGTCTATGCGCCGTTGCGGGGCTGTGTGTCTCAACTGAAGTAGGCAAGATGGTAGTCAGGGTGGTACCGACATCACTCCCTGTGGGATTCGTACTTGGTGGAGGGCTGTCTGTTCTTTCTGACGGAGCACTGGACGAAGCTGTGCGTCTACTGGCCTCCATCCCTGTGGTGCTGAGAGTTGTTGAGGGAGTGTGTGTTTCACCCAAGGGAGCACTTGTGGAAATAATGCTTGTAGTGGCATCACTCGTTGTTGTGCTGGGCTCAGCTGAGGGCCTGTGTGAGGAGGCAGAGGTATCAGTTGCAATAGAGCGAGAAGTGAAGAAAGATGCCTTTGTGGTGACATTGCTGAAGGCGCTGCTGGTATGGGATGAAGAAGTGTAAGATTCCCCATAGACGGTGCCGGTCAAAGCTGTGCTTACACCGGCATCATTTCCTGTGGGGCTGGACATAGTTGGTGAGACCTGTGCTTCTGCTGAGGGAGTACTTGCAGATATGGGTTTTGAAGTGACCTCAGTTCCTGTGCCAGTTTCAATTTCTGTTGTCGCAGAACTGAGTGTCTCGGAGGAGAGAGTACTTGTGGATGGCGTGGTTTCAGGGGAATTATTCATGGTGGTATCGGCCAGGGAGGGAGGGCTCTGTGTTGATCCCGAAGGAGAAGTTGTAAAAGCTGAGGCTACAGTCCCATTGTTCCCCGGCATGCTGAACGTCGTGAAGCTCTGCGTTGTCCCAGATAGGGTAGTTGGGGAAAGCAATTCCACAGTCACATCGCTGAGGCTGATAGTGTTCTGCGTCGAGCTGCTGCCATTTGATGTACGGGTATACCTTTCCCCTGAAAGTGAGGTGGCTGCTGTTCGAGCGCTGAGATCGGTAAAGGTGCTACTGGCTCCCGCTGAGGGGCTTGTTGTTTCTTGGGAGGGTGTCCTTGTTGGAGCTGGAGTTGTAGTGACATGGGTTCCTTTGGTGCTGCCATTTTCCGTGGGACTTTGAGTTTGATCAACGGGAGAATCTGTGAGATCCATGACTGTACTTCCCTCGTTGTCGGTGGAGCCTGTATATGCGGTGCTCCTGGGTTTTTCACCTGGAGGAGAAGTCATGAAAACTGTGCTTCTATTGACATCGGTAAATGTGGGGCTACTATAGGTTGGGAAGCCTGGGGTTTCTACTGTTAAAGGACTGGGGGAAGGTGTGCCAAGATTCACATCACTCGTGGTGGTGGAGGGGGCTTTTGCAGAAGTGCGTACTTCACCTGACACAGCACTCGTGGACGCTAGGCTCGTCACGTCGCTCGATGAAGCGCCTGCAGATGCCGAGGGGCTGAGCTCTATATCCAAACTGGATGTTTCTCGCCTGGCAGAAGTTTCACTAGTAATGCTGGTGCTGAAATCACTTAATATTCTAGTGGAATCTGATGAGGAGGTGTGCATTTCAGGTGAAAGGGAAGTAGTCAAAGCTATGTCGACGGTGAGATCTCTCCCGGTGCTGTCGAGCGTGGTCAGGGAGCTGTGCATTTCCCCCGAGGGATTGTTTCCGGATGTAGTTCTGGTAGCCACATGAGCTGGCGTGGGACTTGTATGGGTTGAATGTCTATGCGCCGTTGCGGGGCTGTGTGTCTCAACTGAAGTAGGCAAGATGGTAGTCAGGGTGGTACCGACATCACTCCCTGTGGGATTCGTACCTGGTGGAGGACTGTCTGTTCTTTCTGATGGAACACTGGACGAAGCTGTGCGTCTACTGGCCTCCATCCCTGTGGTGCTGAGAGTTGTTGAGGGAGTGTGTGTTTCACCCAAGGGAGCACTTGTGGAAACAATGCTTGTAGTGGCATCATTCGTTGTTGTGCTGGGCTCAGCTGAGGGCCTGTGTGAGGAGGCAGAGGTATCAGTTGCAATAGAGCGAGAAGTGAAGAAAGATGCCTTTGTGGTGACATTGCTGAAGGCGCTGCTGGTATGGGATGAAGAAGTGTAAGATTCCCCAGAGACGGTGCCGGTCAAAGCTATGCTTACACCGGCATCATTTCCTGTGGGGCTGGACATAGTTGGTGAGACCTGTGCTTCTGCTGAGGGAGTACTTGCAGATGTGGGTTTTGAAGTGACCTCAGTTCCTGTGCCAGTTTCAATTTCTGTTGTCACGGAACTGAGTGTCTCTTGGAGGAGAGAGTACTTGTGGATGGCGTGGTTTCAGGGGAATTATTCATGGTGGTATCGGCCAGGGAGGGAGGGCTCTGTGTTGATCCCGAAGGAGAAGTTGTAAAAGCTGAGGCTACAGTCCCATTGTTCCCCGGCATGCTGAACGTCGTGAAGCTCTGCGTTGTCCCAGATAGGGTACTTGGGGAAAGCAATTCTGCAGTCACATCGCTGAGGCTGATAGTGTTCTGCGTCGAGCTGCTGCCATTTGATGTACGGGTATACCTTTCCCCTGAAAGTGAGGTGGCTGCTGTTTGAGCGCTGAGATCGGTAAAGGTGCTACTGGCTCCCGCTGAGGGGCTTGTTGTTTCTTGGGAGGGTGTCCTTGTTGGAGCTGGAGTTGTAGTGACATGGGTTCCTTTGGTGCTGCCATTTTCCGTGGGACTTTGAGTTTGATCAACGGGAGAATCTGTGAGATCCATGACTGTACTTCCCTTGTTGTCGGTGGAGCCTGTATATGCGGTGCTCCTGGGTTTTTCACCTGGAGGAGAAGTCATGAAAACTGTGCTTCTATTGACATCGGTAACTGTGGGGCTACTATAGGTTGGGAAGCCTGGGGTTTCTACTGTTAAAGGACTGGGGGAAGGTGTGCCAAGATTCACATCACTCGTGGTGGTGGAGGGGGCTTTTGCAGAAGTGCGTACTTCACCTGACACAGCACTCGTGGACGCTAGGCTCGTCATGTCGCTCGATGAAGCGCCTGCAGATGCCGAGGGGCTGAGCTCTATATCCGAACTGGATGTTTCTCGCCTGGCAGAAGTGGCACTAGTAATGCTGCTGCTGAAATCACTTAATATTCTAGTGGAATCTGATGAGGAGGTGTGCATTTCAGGTGAGAGGGAAGTAGTCAAAGCTATGTCGACGGTGAGATCTCTCCCGGTGCTGTCGAGCGTGGTCAGGGAGCTGTGCGTTTCCCCCGAGGGAGTGTTTCCGGATGTAGTTCTGGTAGCCACATGAGCTGGCGTGGGACTCGTATGGGTTGAATGTCTATGCGCCGTTGCGGGGCTGTGTGTCTCAACTGAAGTAGGCAAGATGGTAGTCAGGGTGGTACCGACATCACTCCCTGTGGGATTCGTACTTGGTGGAGGGCTGTCTGTTCTTTCTGACGGAGCACTGGACGAAGCTGTGCGTCTACTGGCCTCCATCCCTGTGGTGCTGAGAGTTGTTGAGGGAGTGTGTGTTTCACCCAAGGGAGCACTTGTGGAAACAATGCTTGTAGTGGCATCACTCGTTGTTGTGCTGGGCTCAGCTGAGGGCCTGTGTGAGGAGGCAGAGGTATCAGTTGCAATAGAGCGAGATGTGAAGAAAGATGCCTTTGTGGTGACATTGTTGAAGGCGCTGCTGGTATGGGATGAAGAAGTGTAAGATTCCCCAGAGACGGTGCCGGTCAAAGCTGTGCTTACACCGGCATCATTTCCTGTGGGGCTGGACATAGTTGGTGAGACCTGTGCTTCTGCTGAGGGAGTACTTGCAGATGTGGGTTTTGAAGTGACCTCAGTTCCTGTGCCAGTTTCAATTTCTGTTGTTGCGGAACTGAGTGTCTCGGAGGAGAGAGTACTTGTGGATGGTGTGGTTTCAGGGGAATTATTCATGGTGGTATCGGCCAGGGAGGGAGGGCTCTGTGTTGATCCCGAAGGAGAAGTTGTAAAAGCTGAGGCTACAGTCCCATTGTTCCCCGGCCTCCTGAACGTTGTGAAGCTCTGCGTTGTCACAGGTAGGGTACTTGGCGAAAGCAATTCTGCGGTCACATCGCTGAGGCTGATAATGTTCTGCGTTGAGCTGCTGCCATTTGATGTACGGGTATATCCTTCCCCTGAAAGTGAGGTGGGTGCTGTTCGAGCGCTGAAATCGGTTAAGGTGCTACTGGCTTCCGCTGAGGAGATTGTTGTTTCCTGGGACGGTGTCCTTGTTGGAGCTGGAGTTGTAGTGACATGGGTTTCTTTGGTGCTGCCATTTTCCATGGGACTTTGAGTTTGATCTATGGGAGAATCTGTGAGATGCATGACTGTACTTTCTTCGTTGTCGGTGGGGCCTGTGTATATGGTGTTCCTGGGTGTTTCAGCTGGAGGAGAAGTCATGAAAACTGTGCTTCTATTGGCATCGGTAACGGTGGGGCTACTATAGTTTGGGCCGACCCTTTCTTGGGACGGTGTCCTTGTTGGAGGTGGAATTGTATTGTCATGGGTTCCTTTGGTGCTGCCATTTTCCGTGTGGCTTTGAATTTGATCTGCGAGAGAATCTGTGAGATCCATGACATTTTTGAAGGTGTTGCTGTTGTTGCATGATGAAATGTGAGGTTTCCCAGGGTGTGTCCCAATCAAAGTTGCGCTTATAGCGATATTACTCTTTGTGGGATTGTGCTTTTTTGGCCAGAATTTTGTTTCTGCTGAGGGAGAAATTTATTGTGTTAGATTTGTTATTATGTTAGAGATCATTATAGGTTTCATATATTGGTTAGTTCTGGGATGTTATTTTATTTGGATTTTTTTTCAGGTAATACCTTCCAGGGTTATTATAATTAGATGGTTAGGCATATAAATCTAATTATATATAGAAAGATTAAGTAAGATCCAAGTGAAATACGAATATGTCAGGGATAGATGAAAGCCTGATTTCTGTGACTATTTTATCAATAATAGTTTTACTGACTGTTTATGCAAAGATGTGCTCATTTCAAAATTGAGTGAAGATTGTTATTCTCCCTTATTCTTATTGTGTGAGTCATAGTAGAGAATAAAACAAATTGATACACACAACCTTCGGTATTGCTCACCCATTTCCCCCCAAACCGCATCCACTCTCTAACATACTTCCCTCTTTCCCTCTTCTTCCTCTTCCTCACTCTTCCCCTCTCCTCCTTCTCCTCAACCTTCCTACTTGCTTCTCCCCTTCTTCCTATCTTCTCGCTCCGGATACGGTCCAGGGGAAATGCCCGAGCAATTCCTCTCTCCAAATTAAAAATTCAATATTATATACAATAAAACTATTTCTACTTATCTGAGCTACTTAAATTTGAACCCATCCTCCCCTACCCCCTCCCCCCGACTTCCCAGAGTCAAGTACAGGGTTATACAAACATATTAAACATAATCTATTTAAGTTTACTAATTATAAAATAACCAAAATCATACTAACCCTTAACTCTCTTCAAACTTAAACATCATAAGTTTATAAACAAATTCATTACTCATAAAATAAGTGAAACTTTGTAGTTCCATACTTCTTCTGAACATATTCTATCCATCTTCTCCATACATTAAAATATTTGTCTTGTGAATGGTCCTTTAAATGAGCAGAAATTTTAGCCATTTCTGCTAAATTAGAAACCTTAAATACCCATTCTTCTAAAGAAGGCAGAGAATCCTTCTTCCAATATTGACCCACCAACAATCTTGCTGCTGTTATTAAATTCAACATTAAGATAGTTTCTTTAGCATCAAAATCCACAAAAATACCCAAAAGAAACAACTGGGGAGTAAACTTAATCTTCCTTTTAAAAACCTTTTGAATGTTCCACCAAATCATAATCCAGAAGGGTTTAATATTTTTACAAGTCCACCAAACATGAAAATAGGTTGCATCCAAGCAACCACATCTCCAACATTTAGGTTGCAGGTTCGGGTACATACAAGACAACTTTTTAGGATCCAGATGCCATCTATAAAACATTTTATAAAAAATTTCCCTCAAGTTTTGAACCTGTGTAAATTTAACATTTCTAATCCAAATTACCTCCCATAAATCCAATGAAATCGGTTCCTGAATATTCTGGGCCCATTTAATCAGACAATCTTTTACTAACTCTGTTTCCGAGTCCAGTTTTATTAACTCTTTATAAATTCTTTTAATACGGGCATATTTCTGATCCTTAATCTGAATTACCAAATTTTCATCTACTAAAGTAATTCCACTTTCTTATCTAAAATCCACCTCTGCACTATTTGCAAATATTGAAACCATGATTGTAAAATATTTTCTTGCCTTAACACATCTGAAGACTTTAATTGCCAGTCAGTACCCGACCAAATAAGTAACTCTGTATACGAAATGTTATCAAAATTCACCCCCTTAGAAACCCCCTGAATGGCTTGTCCAGGAATCCCCCAAATAGGTATTTTATAATTTAACTTATAATAATATTTCTTCCATACTCGAAGTAGAGAATTTCTTAAAATGTGTGACTTAAAGACCCAATCTACTTTCTTATCAAAAATTAAGTATACATGCCAACCATATAATAAATCCCACCCTTCAAGAACAGGAATATTTTTATTTGTTAAATTAAGCCAGTCACTTTCTAAAGTTAAAGTGGCCACATCATAATATAATTTCAAATTAGGTGCTTTAAGTCCACCTCTTTCTCGAGCATCTTGTAAAATTTTAAACTTTACCCTTGATTTCTTCCCACCCCAGATAAATCTATTGATACCCTTCTGCTACTCATCCAAATTAGCATCTTTCTTTAAAATAGGTATCATCTGAAACAAAAAAAGAAACTTTGGTAGAACATTCATCTTTACTACTGAAATTCTCCCCAGTAACGATAGTTGCAATTTTTGCCAATCATTTAAGTCTTTTTGTACTTTAACCCATAAGCGTTCATAATTGTTCTTATACAATTTCCCATTAGATGTTGTAATATATACTCCTAAATACTTAACCTTATTAACTACTTCATAACCTGTTGCTTCAGCTATACAATCTTTTCCCTTCATAGACATATTTTTCAATAATATTTTAGTTTTATTCTTATTCACCTTAAAACCAGAAACCTGTCCATACTGTGCTAAAATTTCAACCAAATCTTTGACCGAATCTGTTGGATGGGATAACGTCACAACCAAATCATCAGCAAAAGCTCTCAGCCTGTAATCAATCTTACTTATTTTTATTCCTTTTAATCTAGATGAATCTCGAATTTTAATAAGTAAAATCTCCATTGTTAATACAAACAACAAGGGGGATAAAGGACAACCCTGTCTTGTACCTTTTCCTATTTTAAATACATCTGTTAATCCCCCATTAATTATAATTTGTGCCGATTGTTGCTGATATATGGCCTTGAGAGCACACAAAAATTTATCTTCAAAATTCATTTCCTCTACGACTTTCAATAAAAATTTCCAATCTAATTGATCAAAAGCTTTCTCAGCATTTATAAATATCAAAGCAGCAGGGATTTAGTTGTTCTTATCCAAATACTCTATTAAATTAACAATTTGTCTTACATTATTTTTCATATATTTTCCCATTATAAATCCAGATTGGTCAGTATGAATCAATTGTTTCAAAATCTGCATTAATCTATTTGCCAATATCTTTGCAAAAATCTTGTAATCTGTATTTAAAAGAGATATAGGCCTGTAATTTCTAGGTTGGGACAGATCCTGGTCTTCCTTTGGAATCAATGATATGAAGGCCGTTCTCCAAGATGGAGGTAACTCTGCTCCGGACAAGATATCATTAAAAAGTTCCTTTAATGGTTCTATCATTTCTTCAGATAACATCTTGTAATAAATCGCTGTTAACCCATCAGTACCTGGAGTCTTACCAACCTTCAATTGTTTAATTGCAAAAATAATCTCTTTAGAGGTAATTAAACCATTAATCCCATCATGCTGGTCACTCGTAAGTCTACGAAAACGTGCTTCTTGTAGATATTTTTCTATATCTGAAGTTTGTATAGTTTCACTAGCATATAACTTTGAATAAAAATCTAAAAAAGACTTTTTAATCAAATTTTGTTGATAGTCTTCTTTACCTTTATACATTATTTTATCTATAATCCTCGATTTCTGTTTCTTATGTAATTGATAAGCCAACCATCTACCAGGTTTATTTGCATTACAAAATGTATTATGTTTCATATACCTCAAATTAGTTGCCATCTGATCCGCTAATAACATGTTGAATTGCTCCTTAAGCAGAGTAATAGAAGACTTTAAATTATTATCCATTGGGTTTGATATTAAAATCTTTCCCTTACATTTAATCTCATCTTCAAGGTTTTTACATTTCTGAGTCTGTTTACGTCTATGAGCATTATTCATAGAAATCAAAATCCCTCTCATATATGCTTTACTAGAATCCCATACCATTGGCATCGAGGTATGCTTATTCTTATTCCAAACAAAAAATTCCTTTAAATAACCTTTACATCTCTGTATATTCTCTTCATATCTAAATAAATTCTTGTTCAACCTCCAAGACCTTCTAGTCCTTTCTTCTAACGAAATTCCAACCATACAGGACTATGATCTGAAATTATTCTAGGAAATATCTTGATATTCTTCACCCTAGAAAGGAAATCATTAGTAATCAAAAAGAAAGCAATTCTAGAATAAGATTGGTGCCTATCTGAAAAAAAGGTAAAATCTTTTTCCTCAATGTTCCATTCTCTCCAAATGTCTCTAAGTTCCAAATCATCCTTTAAATAAAAAAAAACTTTAGGAAGTCTTGCATGATTAGAAACTTTAGAAGAACCCTTCTTATCTTTACTTGAATCTAGAACACCATTCCAATCTCCCATCATAATAACTGACTTGTAATCCAAAGAAATTAATTTCTGATGAATTATCTTATAAAAATATTTTTGTTGTTGATTGGGAGCATATAATCTGACAAGAAGGGTTCTCTTATCATTTATTAATAAATCAATAATAATATATCTTCCTTGTGGATCAGAATCAATTAACTTCGGTGAAAGCTCCTTTCTCACATAAATAACTACACCTCCTTTTTTCTGCAAAGCAGGAGCTATGAAATATATCCCCAGCCGGGAGTTAAACAAATATTTTTGATCTTTAGAAATAATATGAGTCTCTTGTAAGCAAATAATATCATTTCTGTGTTGTTTCAAATAATGAAAGATTTTCTTTCTTCTCTATGGTGAATTAAGACTATTAACATTCCAAGTTAGAAGCTTTGCCATTCTTGGCAGGTTGAAGCCTTTGGAACAAAACCTCTAGATTTGTAGTCGATGACCTCTTTGGCCTTGCTCCTCCCACTGGCTCCGAAGTAGACTGTGATGAAACTCTATCATCTACCTTTTGTTGTTGTTGCTGTTGTTGTTGTTGTTGTTGTTGTCTTTCTCTACGTTTATGAGCAGCGCGTGTAATTCTCTGTTCCCTTGGGTCTTCCGTTATTTGCAAATTCTGTTGCATAGATTCAACCAATAATTCTTCTCCCAAAGATGGCATTAAACCTACAGCCAACTGTGCTTCTGACTTACTCTCATCTTTTTTTAATCTTGGAGATGGTGGTGGACTTCCTTTTAAAATAGTAACATAGAAATCTCTTGCTTTTGAAATTGTATTAAGATGATATCATGTGCCAATGTAGGTCATCACTATCCCCACAGGTATATCCCATCTAAATTGAATTTGT